TGGTCTTAAGTAAGATACAGACTAAATGCACTTTTTTATATACGTATGGTGCACAAACATGAAATACTAATTTTAAACGAGGTTAGATGCCCTTAAAAAAAACAACTTCTACATAGGACTTTATTTTCGATGAGAAGGACTGTATTTGTTATTTTGTTCTCTTTCAGTTCCCTACCCGTTTGGGTTGACTGTTCACAAGTATACAAAAAAGCTTCAATTTTATTTTTACTGTTTGATCAATATCCAGTACGATTTCGAGCGTAGAAGTGACAGGTCAAGGAAAAATTAACTTTAGTCAAAACAATTAGAGTACTGTTCACATACGAAGTTATGTCAACATTTATTTGCCTAAAATAGGGATTCTTTAATGATTTTTTTGTAAGGTATGATTCATTATATCTATTAACGAGAAAAAATGTTCAAATTCCATACAAAATGTAAATCTCATGCTGAAGATTTTATCAGCAAGACATTTCAAAAGTAGGTACTGTGCTCCAAAATGGAGCAATTAAGGAAGCTTTGCAATTGTGATCAAATAACTGGTGTTCGTAAGCTTTCATAAGTGTGGTCACACTATTTATAGATGCTCAATTGTATTCAAATGATGCAGGCAATGTTGTTATAGAGACTCATAGTTACTTCGTTTCAATTCTTTAGCATCAGATCTTTGCCAATATTACTGTAAATCAATGTTTATTGATTCTGGAATAGCATTTGTAGATTTCTGTACATGTTCGGGCATTGTTATAGATACTCTTAAGTAATTACACAATGTCAATAGACAAATTTTAGATTGAATTATTCTACTTATCTTTCGGAGTTGAATCACATGACTGTACGAGACTGTTGGTGAGCACTGCTAATGAAGGTTTGTGTATTTGTCTACAGAGATCTAAATTACCATTCTAGCTTAAGTATTCGTGACAGTTCGTTTTTTTCTAACAATCTTTTTACTTGTAACTGTTTTTTTTTCTAAAGTTGCAGTGCATAGTATGTTATTTTAAGTTTAATATTTACAGTAAAGTTAAAACATCGCATATATGTTTGAGAATCTAATAGAAATTCATAATTTAAGTACCATTAAAAGATTTTCTGTGTTTGTCCTAATGCATTATGATTTCATTCTCTTCATTTTTCTTTATTTCATTATGTAAACAATGAAGAAACCATGTGTATTCTGTTTTTTGTCTTTTACAAAAACTATATTGAATCAATATGTGAAGGTTCTCAATAATGTAGATATAAAAAAATTGTTTTATTAATATTCTTAAATATCTTAGTTCACTTATTTTTGTATATTTCAAAATAAAGAGAAACAAATCATTTATCTTCATCAATCTGTTCAAGATAACATGTTTCAGTACTTCCATTCATGAGATCACCTATTGTCTCATCACCAATTTGTTCATATTGATAGCGTTTGCGTGGATAACCCCATAATAATTCAAATTGATTAGGTACATTTGACTTTGTCCATGCAAATTCAAATAAAAGTTTAGCGGAATCATTACGACGGAAACGACGACGAATGGGTTCATCAGCTGGTAAACGTATTGAAACTTGAATTGTTTCATTTTCTGTTGATAATGGTTCTGAAGGTAATGTTTGCTTTAAACGATCACGAAATTCAGCAAATTCCTTAATTATAAAAGAAACTAATTTAATTTTCTTTTTGTATCGTATTTTATAAATTACTTGAAGTTTTCTTTGTTGTTCTTCTTCTACTTTACGTCGTTCATTTTCTTCACGTGCACGTTGTTCAGCCTTGATTATTAAAACATTTAAAAAAAGTACAAAAGTTAAATATAACAAACTTTTTCTT